CCCGCCCGCTCCCATCGCTGCTCGCCCTGAGCAACCCCCTTGGAGACACCGCCGTGGGGCGAGGAAGGGCCCGGGATGGCCCCTGTCATGACCTGGATAGGGAGCCCAGAGATTCACAACGGCTCTGTGATCCCCTCGGGTTAAATTAAGGTGAAATGACACCAAGCAACTGGTTAAAATGTTTTACTTGTGGTAGAAAACAATTTAAACTTGGAAAAGGATAACAAGCAATGTGGTCTCTGCCGTGGGGGTGAGGAAGGACCGGGGATGGCCCGGCTGCTCCGGAGGGTGCCACAAAGGGACCCCAGCACAGGGCAGTGCCACAGGGCAGGGGTCAACAGGGCAGGGGTGAACTCACCCGGGGCAAAGTCAGGGTTGGGCAGGGTGCTGCGGCGTGGGCAGAGCTGGTGTGGAGGTGACACAACGGGGTGCGGTGTGTTGGTAGGCAGGGGGCTGGCAGGGACGGCCAGCAGCCCCTTCTCTGCAGCCGGGTGTAATTTTCCACCTTACTCTTCATTAAGTTAAGATGTAAGACTGAAGAAAAAAAAAAAGTATAGTTGTAGCTATGGCATTGATCTGAAGTTCTGTGAAGAGCCAGGGGAAAAAATGGGCTTCCCATAGGGCCATGTAAACTAAAGCTGTGTTTTACCAGAGATCTGACAAAACTCCAAGATTCGGAGACTCTGGAACTCTGTAAGATCTTTATCCCCAAGCACAGCAGCAGGGGCAGAGACGCATGGGAGCAGCAGCCTCTAGCCGTCAGCACCGAGAGCTGCAGCTGCTGCTGGGAGGCTGCAGCCAGAGCTCTTGCTCTCAGCCTTCCTTCGCCCTTGTAGTGGGTGGCTAAAAACATCCAGGCTGGCAAATGCCGATGATGTGAACGCTTATGCAAACCTGGGATCTCTGTGGTAAATTTGGAAGGGAATTCAGCAAATAAAGGTGGCTCCTGCTGGCTGGTGTTAGGCCGGGTGCTCTGGGTGGGCTGTGCCTTGGAGGGCACCATGAGCAGGGGGGCCTGGGGCTGCCCCCGCAGCTGAGAATCCTCCTCGGGGTTTTTAAATCCTGAGCTTTGAGCTGAAGAAGTGGTCAGATGTGGTGATGGGAAGGTGATGCTCCCATCTGGTGCGGGCAGCGGGGAGACATCTCACAGGTCACGGCTGGTGTTGGGGTGGGTGCATGTTGCTGTACTTGGCCTTTCTGCTCCCCCAGCAAGGGAGGGATAGATGTGAGCGAGTAACGTGCAGCTTTGTGTCCTGCAAACCCCCAGCCCCTGGGGAATATTGGTGAGATCCCCCTCTCTGGGGGCTGTATCCTGGGTTTGCATTGCAGAAAACCCGTCCTCTGCAGCGGGCTGCGACTCTGTCATACCAAGGGCAGATCCTGCCCTCAGCGCCCTCAAACCAAGATACCTGGCCAGGGGCCTCCAGCTGCCAAACACTCCTCTGCCCTCACAGACAATCCCGTCCCCAAAACATCTGCTTCAAGAGGCGGTAGTGTGGTTGTCTTCACCTTCCCCCCTCTCCTTGAGGTTGGTGAAGGAGGTACCTGCACTTGGCAGCTGAGCGGGAAGCGACCACCCAAGGAGCCCCTCTCCAGCCCCGCTCCTCCCACGGCAACCTGGCAGGAACCCCCGGCCCTCTCCGGCTCCGAGCTCACAGTGCCCGGGCAGGTCCCCTCCCAGCCCTGCCTGCACCTCCCTGGCCCTGCCTGTGCTCCCCACAGCCCCATGGAAAGGAGCCACGTGGGATGCACACTCCACAACACAGCTGTGTTTTAGGGAGGAAGGCTCATCATGGACACAGAAGGACTTTTTTTTAGCAATGATATCCCTCCAAATAGCTGGTGAATGACCATTGCCCACAGCTACATGGAGAACTGAGGATGAACACTAACTATATTTTTTTTAGTTATGGTTTCTAGCTTTTATTCTGTAGCAAGGACCCGAAGCACCTTTCCTTCCCAAGCCCCATGCTGGGCTCCCCACCACCCACAGCACAGCAGAAGCTGGAAGCTCTGCTCTGCCAAGAAGGGAGAGATGCAGCAAAATCACTCGGTATGGCTCAGCCCAGCAGATCAGGACAGAAGGGGGAGCCCAGGAGACAAAATCAGAGAGCATCCCACCCCACCAGGCTCTAGCCAAGCTCTGGATGTTGATGGCATTCACAGCCACCTTTTGGAGTTTTGGAGGTTTCCACAGCCACCTTTTGGAGGCTTTTTATGGTTTATAGGAGACTCACCTCAGTGTCTGTGCTGGCATTCCCACTGTGCTGAACAGTGAGCGAGCCATTCCACCAGCAGTGCCCAGAAATCCCCACTGTGCCGCACTCTGCCATTGTCCTCTCTGTGTTAATGGGCCAAAACATCATCTTCTCCCTCCTCTTCCCCCACGCCGATCATTTCCCTCCAGACCTCTGACACCCAAACCACCACATCGCTGTGCCCATCTTCCCCTGCCTCTGTTCATGTTTAAAACCCCTGTCGCTGCGGAAGCCACCTCCTTGGCAGCTTGTTTGACTGCCGAGCGCTTGTCCTGCCCTGGGCAAGTCTGCAACCTCCTGGCAGACAGAAATGTTGTGGTTTTGATCCTTTTTAACAAGACACCTTGAGCTATGTTATTGTTGGGTGTATGAAGTGTCCCAGCTCCTGGTGCGCCCCACAGACACCAGCCAACTCTCTGACCTGCTCCATCTCGTAATGCTTTTCAATATCCTGAGATATTTCCCAGCAAACATTTTCCTAATTTGTTTAAAGGACTGCTCCCACCTCCCACAGAGCCAGTGACGGAGCGGCCGTGGGAAGGAGCCCGGCAGGGTTTTGGCTGTACAGAGAAGGGGCCACCTTTCCCTGTGCTCCCCAAGACCTCTGGCGGCTGCAGAGACCAATGCCCACCACAGACCCGACCTGCTGAGACTTATTTAACATTTCCTAACAGGCCGGGCTCTCTTCAGATAGTGCTGGTTTGTACTTCAATATTTTTAGATACCTTCTGGTTTTTATATCTCTATTTTACCCCTCTGAAGCCAGACATCAATTACTGACTCGGGTGCCTATTAAAACATAGCTCACAAATAGACTGCCAGTACCTACCTCTCTGTAATTTATTGCTGACAATCATTTATTTTCCTCTCCAGCCAGGAACAATATGCCCATTGTAAAATACCCCAGGGCTACAGAGCCTCTCTGGCATGAATGGGACAGGAAAGCACAGAAATGTGGATTAAGACACACAGTCTATGCTGTAAATGGGGATCATTATACTGGAGAATGGCTCAACAACTTGAAACATGGTAAGATGACCGTTTTGAGAAAAAATACCAATTTAAATGTCTTTACAAAAGCTCCTAGGGACAGGGAGCAGTCTGGTTGTATATGCTCCTGGAAGACCATACAGTCATGTATATGATTATATATATATAATGTCTTTGACAGATGTCATGCAAAAATGTGTTCAAACTTATTTCTAATAGGTAATTGAAGAGCTTTTGCATGTGCTCAGGAGCAATTACCTGAAATACCTAGGTTATAGATGTTTAAAAATCCCCTACAAACCCAGCAAACTGCAGTCAGCTCCCCGCACCGGGATGTGCCCTGGCTGCACAGTCCCTGGAGCTCTCTCAGCTCCTGACTTGGCTTCAGGAATATTCATTTATTCTGGAATTGTGGTGGGTGCTGCAGGAGACAGAGCAGGGGAAGGAGACCCTGATTGAGCCCTGAGCAGCCAGAGCAGGACAGGCTTGTTTACACACAGTAAACCAAGGTTTGGAAAGGTTTAAGCATGCTCAGCAAAGGCCACACAGGAAGCTCCTGATCAAGATTAAGGATTCATCCAACTCGGGAAGCTAAACGGAATCCCAGGCCTCCGCGCAGGGAGCGCTGCCTTGCCTGGGGCGGAGCTGGAAGGCAGCCCCAAAAACCCTTCTCCTAACAACTGCCTTGCTCTCCCCATCGTTCCTCTTGTTTGTTAAACAGGTAAAGGCACCCAGGTATGGAAACACACCGGAGCTATTTATAGTGGTGACTGGAAGTTTGGGAAGCGTGATGGTTATGGCTCGTACAGCATTCGTGACTCTGCAACCAAGGAATACAAGAAGGTCTACACAGGCTGGTGGAAAAACGACCAAAAATGTGTAAGTGCGATTTCCTGCACCTGCCAGTGGCAGCATACCCCAAACCATGGGGAAGATTTGGGTGCACACGTGCAAAAAGATCACTCGAAATACAAATTTTTCCAATACTGAGGCAGAATTGAGGGGGTCTGGGGAAACAAACAGGTGGAATAAGAAACTGAAAGCAAGAGCAAAAGCTCTGATATTTAAGCCATCCCCCCCTGCCCTCCCCAACCTCGCTGCTCCTGGCATTACTCATGTCCCCACGTCAGATGCTGCAGGAGCTGCACCATGTCCCACGGCCGGCAACAGGGAAGCAGCAGCGTGACTCCAGGCAGAGTCTACAGGAACAGACCTTCCTCCAGGCTTGGGTTGTCTTTAAATCTTAGTCTGAACCTGCAGAAAGCCCAAGAAGCTTCAAGAGTAAAAATTCATCATTCATAAAAAGCCAAGCGTGGCTGAGGACACGCTGTCACCCACCACGTCCCCGGTGGGGAGGGACTCATCCCACCCATCCGCCGGTGACAGGGCTACAGCCCCGGCCTCCCCCCGCTGCCACAGAGCAGCAACTGCTGCTCCGACCCACCTGCAGCTCTGCCAAGCAGGACAACAGGTTTCATATCCCATGTCTTAATCCTCCCCACCCATCCCTTTCATTCCTCTCATCCTTGAAGGAGTCAGAGGACCCTGCGGTATAAGCACTGCAGGAGAATGTACCACCTTCTGGGAGTTTTACAGCATATTAGACATTAGACATACTCAATAACATGAGTTCTCTTGGAAGTTAAACCTGTCACATAAATCACTGGTTTTTCTAAAGAGAACACAACGAGGAAGTCATCTGGTAAAAATGACTGCAATCTCATGTGCAGAATCCTTGTAGGAACGTTTTCTGATCTGCCAATGGAAACCTTGTGTTTGCCTTTGTGTCTGCTCTTAAATTAAATTAATAGCCTCTTAGGCTTCTAATTGGCATGTGGCTCGATGGCTCCAGTCTCTTGGAGGGAGCTTCCCCTCCTGTTGTTTGAGGTTATAGTTTGGATGATTGAGCTTTGGTGAAAGAATTATAAAGACACCCAAATATCACTAGGGTTGGTTTTTTCTTCTACAAAAGCCTTCCCTTTACATCAATGCAGTTTAGTAAAATTAATGCTCAGTAAAATCAGTTATTTCCAGAACTGATTTTATTTTTTTGTTTAGAGATAAATTAAAGCTTTATTCTTATGGGGAAACTTAATAATATGTAAATATCTCTTAACTGTATCACTCCCCAGTATAGGGAGTACCTCTGGATTTCTCTTAAGAAATATAAACCAAACACATCTGAGGGTCCCCAGCTTGCACACACCCAGTGATCTTAATTCAGAAGTTCACCAACCAAAGCTGCCAGCAGCAGTGAGCCTGGGGAAGGGAAGCAAAGAAGGAAAGCCCAATGTCAGAGCTCGCCTGCCCGCCGGGGTGACACCTGCCACCTGGCACAGCGCCCGGCTGCGGGGGGGCACGCGTGGCACCACTGCCTCAGCCTGCCCCTCTCACCTCAGGGGGCCCGCACTGCTGCCCTTAGTTTCTTGTGGAGGAGGAAGGCAGGCAAGAGGCTCTTTAGGACATGACCTCTTTGGGGGTGTGGATGGGGGAGAAGGCAAAACTGTTTCCATGGTTAGCATCACTGAGAGACCTCTGGTCTGCCCAGGGGCGAGGGAAGGAATCACCCAGCCTGGGACACTCCGGGTTGAGAGACAGGTCTTTTTAACACTGCCTATCCCCAGCCAGGTTTATATACTAGTAAAACCCGCTTTTAGTTAATATTAGCGGCAATCATGCCAATAATAACAGATATAAACCTGAGGTTTTGTCATGGCAATAAAATGATTTGCCAATAAAAATCCCATACCACCACCTCTTGTTTCCTTCAACGCGGAGCTGGGCTGCCAGCAGCCACGTGTAAGAGCGATAACCAAAGGAGAAGCCTACCAAAAAAGTAACGTCCCCAAACTGAACACCGACCGGTTTCAACACAGAGGCTCCTAACCAGGCATCTCTGTGCTGCCCCCCAGGGCTACGGGGCGACGTCCTACCCCAGCGGGGAGCGCTACGAGGGCGAGTGGAGCGGTGGGCTGCGGAGCGGCTGGGGACGGATGTACTACCGGGACGGCTCCGTCTACGAGGGGCAGTGGCTGGAGGACCAGCCCGGCGGGCAGGGCATGCTGCGGCTGCGTAAGTACCGGCCACCCTCGCCCACGGCGACTGCCTGCCCCCTGCAAGGCTCGGTGCGGCTCTCCGGCTGCCTCTGCCGTTCGGATTTCTGGATGCTACACGGGCATCTCCCGCCGCAGCCTTGTGTCAGGGTTGTGGCTGCTCCCCTGTGTCTCTCCCCTCCTGGTCTGGGGCCGGAGGCAGCGCCGGCTGTGCACGAAAGCTTATTTTTTGCTGGGATTTACATTTAAATGACCGGGATGGTTAGGGTTAGAGATAATATACTGTTGGGTCAGAGAAGAGCAAATCTCTCTTTTTAAACCAGGCACTTTGCCAGACGCATTTTCTAACTGCTGCATACCAAAGAGGAGTCCAGTTTCTAGCACAGGAGGGGGGGGAAAAAAAAAAAAAAAGAGAGAAAGTTTTGTTTCTGAGTTCACTTCATTCCTTCTCTTACTTCCGACACTGACTCACATTGAGTGAACACGGAGGTTTCATTAGTACACGATCCCTTCCCAGAAATAACACCAAGCACATCATGGATTGGGAATGTTGGGGGCAATCTCATCATAAAAATGGAAATTTGGAATTTTTTTTCATTTATTTTGCTTGGAGTTTTTCCTCAAAGCCAAGAGTCCCAATCCTTTGCAGTACAAGGCACTGCATTCAAGGAACATCGAAAGAAATGTTATCTCCATATTATTATGCATCTATTCTATTTTTTTTTGCTTGAAAGTGATCCCAAGGCTAGTCATTAGCTAAGCAAAGCAGCTGGGAGGAACGAGCTGCACATCACATGCACGACTGTGCTCTCTGCTGACTGTAATGTCACTTTGGAGTGATGGCTTATCTGGATGAAATCAGCACCCACTTCCAGGGGTGACTCCTTCCACTGATCTGCTTCCTTCCCATCAAAGTCACTGTTATAAACTAACTGCCCCTGTGGGCTCAGCCGTGGCTGCTGCACCATTTCAGAGCCCAGTTGCCTCCAGCGTAGCCTGCAACTGATTGTGAGCTGGATTCCTTTTGGTTAAAATTAACCAGAGCAATTATTTCATACCCACAAGCTTAATGTATTCAGCTCAGCCGCTGGAAGCGTGCCCACGTGCCGGCAGCTTTGCGATGGTGAAAGGAGTTCTTCAGTGGAGGTCATGATGAGCTGCAGCTCAAGATTAAATTGCTTGTAGTGGCAGCGTGCCCGGCGAGGGCGAGCTTGGCTGGGAGCACCGCGCTGATTCGCCGCCTCTGCTACAGCTCAACGGCTTCGAAACCGGAGCGCTGTGTGTCCGCAGAGATCTCAGTCGTGAGCAACGAACGCAGCCCCTCAGATGCTCTGGGAGGGGAGCAGATGGGAGCAGCCGGGCACCATGGTGCAGCCAAGGCCTTGGATGGCCCCTCTGTCACAGTTGCATCTGTGTTTTCAGTGGTTTTGGTGTTGTGGGTGGCTGGAGAGGCTGAGCTGCTCCCTCCAGGGCAGGAGAGGGGGTGGTGCAGAACAGCACACCGCCAAATGCAAGCTGAGGGTAACCACTGCCACAGCTCCAACCTCCAAACCAGACCCTGCCTGAAGAACCTGGCAGCCATTCTCCCCAGAAGCGTTCCTGGGTTTTCCCTCTTCCCTTGGGGGGTTCTGGCAGTCCCCAGCTCCCTCCACGGCATTTTGGCAACCTCTTGCCCCAAAGAATGGCACAGTTCAGCTGAGACCCAAAGATATTTCCACTAAGTCACCTGGTCAGAAATCCCCATGTTTTTTAGCTTAGAAACACTATATATAGGAAAAAGGGACAGCAGAGGAGTCTCCTAGGGAAAGCAGGGTGTGCTGGATGTATCCCAGCCCCAGCATTACCATGGGTATGATGCTCCTTCTCAACCAGCAGCCTTGGATGAGGCTGTGCTTGCCCTTGCAGCTCCACTTTCCCTCTTGGTGATGGATGGCTGGATTCCTGGAGAGCAGCACAGAACCCAAAAAAACCTCTCGACTTGCAGAAAAACTCCAAGAGATGCAGTACAGCTGGAAAAACAGTCTGTAACTGATTGCCTGAACCGTTTACTGACAACAATTCTTACCCTGTAATTCACTGAGGAAAAAAATAACTACAAGTATTATTTGAAATCAAGATTATTTTGACTGGACAACAATCAGACAGTGCTGCTGTTCCTTGCCCAGACAAGCAAACCTCATCAAGCCAGATATCCTGCATGATTTATTGCAGTGACAAAGCTGAAACTTGTGTCCTATAAATTTTCATGTTGTCAGGAGCGACTCAGCAACTAGTCCCTTACTCTGAGCTCACTTGCTCCGCATTATCAACAAAAAATGAGTATCACCAGGAGAAGAACAAAGCAGGTGAACGCAGTTCTTGTTCCAAGTGGGCAAGTGTGGGCTCCTGCGGCCTTTTCTCCCTCTGGCATAGCAAACTGAGCACCATGAAAGCAAAACGACACACTGAGCTGCAGCCCCCTTGAAATGACTAAGAGGAGCCAAACAAATGATTTCCTCCTCTGTTGCTTTGCTGTGTTGATTGCTTTCATTTGTAGCCCCTTAATGAAATGGGTGAAAATTTCATGGTCTGTTCATGTATTTAATTGCAGCAAATGAAAATCGTTACGAAGGAAGTTGGGAAGATGGAAAGAAGCACGGCCCAGGGAGATTCTTCTACTTGGATAAGGGGCAGTTGTTTGAAGGTATCTGGGCAGCAGATTTACCAAAATGTGGAATTCTGATTGACTTTGGCAGAGACGAAGCTCCTGCCCCTACTCAGTACCCAATCCCAAAGGTAATTGCTTGGAAATTTCGGTTTTGCTGATATTTGTATTCATCTGCTTGGGGCAGCTCAACAGGGAACATTTCACTCTCCAAGTGATTACCCCTGTGGAGTTCCCAGCTCACGGGGTGTGTGCTCAGTCTTTTGGCCAGCAGTGTCCTGAACAGCCCCATAGGGACAGTTGGCCTGTCCAGCTACTGCTGGAGCCTCCAAATCACCTACACCTGAAAAAATGCACTTCTCATGCACTAAAACTGCTCAGAGACCTGAAGCAGCACAAAGGAAACGGGGACAATAGAGGCAGAGACAATAGCGGGATTTACGTCAAACCCAAATGATTTCACCAAGCCTAAGTGCTAAAGCTGACTAGACCTTACTGAAACCTCAGCAGCTGCAGCGCTGAAGTCAGCTCTTTCCTTTCCTGGGCACCCCGAGCCAGGGGCTCGTCCATGCCCAGCAGGATGCGCCCAGCAGATGGGTGTCTGGGAGATGACGTGCTCTGCACCCCTTTTCTGTAAGGTTGACACGGGCTGTGGAGAAGGAGCCAGTCCCTGTCCCCATCCCAGTGACTTGGTGAGATGCACAACAGGGCACAGGATACGTCGGGCTGTCAGCCAGGCCACTGCCAACTCCTTGCATGTCACATTGGCACGGGAGGGTGGGTAAGCCTGTGCTCCGCTCTGTGCCCTTGGAGGACAGGGAAAGGGGATCACAATCACAAAACCATCTCATTTGGAAAAGACCTTGAAGATCGCCTAGACCAACGGTCACCCTGACCGTTCCCAACTCCCCCAGATCCCTCAGCGCTGGCTCAGCCCGACTCTTCAACCCCCCCAGGGATCCCGGGGACTCCCCCCTGCCCTGGGCAGCCCATTCCAACGCCCAACAGCCCCTTCTGCACAGAAATCCTTCCTCAGAGCCAGCCTGACCCTGCCCTGGGCAGCTTGAGGCCATTCCCTCGGGGCCTGGCGCTGGGGCCTTGGCTCGAGAGACTCATCACCCCCCTCTCTGGCCCCTCCTGGCAGGGAGTTGCAGAGGGCCAGGGGGTCTCCCCTCAGCCTCCTCTTCTCCAGACTGAACCCCCCCAGTTCCCCCAGCCGCTCCCCAGCAGACCTGTGCTCCAGCAAGTGGATCAGTTGGGGACAGACAGGGCTCCCAGTGACACAGCTGGTCAAGAGTCTCAGCTTGAACCCCTGCAGTCCCGTGTTGCGGGTGTGAAACACAAAGGCATCGCATTGCCAAGGGACAGTTCCTGCAGGGTGCATTGGGAGGCTCCTCTTTGCTTAGAGCGGAGCAGAACCACGCTGCTTTACCCCAGTAACACAGGGAATAGCACGGCCCCGGGGCAGGTAAAGCTTCCCACCTTCCTCCTCTGCTCCAGGGACAAGGTTGTTGCAGGTACGGGGCACACGCAGCCTACCCAGCCTCACAGCTGCTTCCCTTCTTTTTTCAAGTCTGGTTTCTGTAGCAAGGGCCCTCTGAGCACGACTTCTGACAAGCCAGTTAATCCTGTAAGCACTAGGCACACCCATGGCAGTGCAGAATGATAAAACAACAAACATCAGGGAAAAGCAATCTCAATTTTGCAAAGAGTGAAAGGCACAGTACTTCCACAGCTAAAAATATTTACCTTACAAGGTTTGTCAAAGGTCACCCAAGAACAGCCTCCTCAACAGCCCAGCCCACCAGCCTGGGATGAACTGCCATTTCACCAAGGCAGGACGTTCAATCCTGGCTGTTTATGTAACTCCCTGAAGAGTTAATTTTCTTCTGCTCTATGAGCAAAAAGAAAGCATCAACTTTCACTGCCGTTGGTGCAGTTCCTCTCAGAAGAGATTTATTGATCTCAGAATATGAAGGAAGTAACAGATAAAAGGAGAAAAATTGACTTCAGATTTTCATAAAGCTTTTGGCAAATTACTGTTGCAAGCAGCTGTTAGAGAAAAGTAGATGACGGGTGAGCGTTAGAAACTGCCAAAACCAGAGATGGACTAGTCAGCTTTTGCCTGGCAAGAGGCCAACAGTGAGGAGCTGAGCTTCTGCATGGGAGAGGCATCACTGTGCGTCTTCATCAGCAGGTAAAAGGAACAAACAGTGGGGACGCACAGGATGGAAAATGGCTGAAAGGTAGTTAAGTGATCGTCACAAGTTCTGAAGGAATCCAGAGGTAGATGATGGAGTTGCATCAAGGCAGGATCTGAACAGAACTGCAGAGCGCAGGAAAGACACAACGCGGTGGACTCGGGATATTTGCTGTTGTAATTATTGAAGCCGAGGCTTCAGGAAGCGTGACAAAATTAATGAGATTAGACGTCTTGTGCCTGGGAGTAACCCCCCACCATGAACCCTCACAAAGGCGTGACGGCATGAAGCAGATTGGAATGACAGGACAAGCTCCTGGCAGGGTTTTGGCACTTCCCTCTTAAGAATCTGCATCCAGCTGCCTGCAGGTTTCAGGACTCTGGGGTGACTGCAGATACTCACCTTTTACAGCTGCACGAGACATCCAACAGGCTACAGATCAAAAGCCCGTTTTGTCTAAGAATGTGTTTTGTTAAAAGCAAATCAGTTCACTCCACGCAGAGCTATTTCAAGGAGATGATGTTTAACACACTAATAAAATGAGGAAAGCACAGCAATGTTTCTAAAATAACTGAAAGGCTGCAATATAAATTTTAGTCCTGATACATGGGAGATTCTCTGTTAATTCTCGAATAATCAAGATCTATAAAACCTTAAGCTTCTTCAATTACACCGCATAACTGATCTGTATTCTTTCTATTTAGATTGAACTAGCTGATCCAGATGGTGTTTTAGCAGAGGCCCAGGCGATGTTTGATGACAGCCAAAATTAATAACCGGATGCTGAAGGAAAAAAAAAAAAAAAAAAAAAAAAAAAAGATGCAAGATAAGAACATGATCCTGGGTTACTTATTCGAGTCTCAAATCCACACTGTGGCGTATCGTATTGTGGTCTGCCTCGCCTTCCCCTCAAGGCTGCTCACGTAGGCTTCACCCTGCGGGTGGCTTTGCTCAGAGGCCTCCTCCCACCCCCCAGTATTTTGGGGAAAAAAAAAAACCAAACAAAAAAAACTAAAAAGCAAAATGCTGGAAGAGAGGCAGTGACTCGCTGCCCTGCTCCCCTAACTTATTCCTCTTGTAAAGAAATCACATGCCTGCTGGTCTGAAGGCCTTTCACACTGCCGCAGAGAAGCTGCAGGGTTTCTGTTACACACTGTAAAAGCAAAGCTCTGGAAAAGTACAAATCATCCTCCTCCCCCACCCCACTCCCCAAACCTACCTGTGCCCCTAGATGCTTTTGACGTTGTAACAGATCACCTTTCTCTATTTTTATTAATACAACTCCACTGTGTACATTTTCCATAACGTGATGCTGATTCTCCTCCGTATCCCCTGGGAGCGCAGAGGACGGGATCCCCCCAGCTCTGCTCCCTGCCCAGCCCGTGCCCCCAAGGGCACTGCTTCTCCATTCCCCCGCGCCCCGACAGCCACGACGGTGGGAACTCTGGGCCAGGAGTTCACCCGATAAACCCCACGCCCCCGAGCACCACCCGATAAACACCACACTTCCAAGCATCACCTCTTGTCCGTGTTCACTTGGTCCTTGACTCTTCCATTTTCTCAGCTGAATGATAACCCACTTTTCTATTTGAGAACTGAGAGCATAACACCACAACATGCTTAGTCCCAAGATTTAAGCGGTGCTGACAGGAGGAACAGCACGTCAGCTATGTTATATTCTTTATAACTGCGTGAACAGGAAATTTTATCTTCATATGATGACTGAAATGAGTAACTGAACACATTTAAGAGATCCTCAGAAATACCCAGGATTAGCACAATATAGCTGAAGAGGTAAGTGATATAGAGAAAATAAGCCTCTATTGTAGGCCTCTAGGTAACAAATAATCAGCAACAATATATTTTATTTCATTAAAGTATTTTATATCTAAATAAGTGATATACAATAACCAATGTTTAAAATGCTTGAGGTAAACGCGTAAATACCATTCGTATAAATAAGGGATAAAAAAAAAAATTTATAAGTGCACTCATTGTTTAGATCCATGTGTTTGGGTCTGGTTACTGCCTCTGGCACACAGTTAGGAGACTGTGCCCAAGGTGTAACTTTCACGACCATTTCCACAGGTGGAAAACTCTAGAAACATACTCGATAACATGGCTTAAAGCACAGAAAACAGTTAGAAAAGCAGCTGTAATAACAGTGCCATTAGCTCAGAGCCTACCAGCTTGAGAAAGATAAAAATAAGGTTGTCCCACTTGCTTCTAATTCTGTATTTCTTAAAACAAAACAAAAAACCCCACACTTCTCTGTCACTTTGTAAAAAGATCCACAAAATAAAGAGAAATTCAGCTACTTATCCAGGACAGCAAGTCATTTTACAACATAAACTTGGAAAGTATATTTTCTGGACTTCCATTCAAAAGAAGGTTTTAACTTTTAAATGCGCAATTTATGGACAGAAGAGTCATTTTTAAGCCTAACAGCACCCTTTCAAACATTTACTCCAGTGTGAATATTGAGTCAAGTTTTCTTCCTTTACTGAGGGTTTTTAAGAGTCTTTTTTTCCCCCCCAAGACAGGACTAGTATTCCAGTAAAGGATGGGAAAATATATTTTGTGCCTACTAACAAGATTTTGTGTTTTGAAATCCTGCTTCATTAATGCTTTGCTAACACAATCCTTCCAGTGCTCCCTGACCGAACACCTGTGGGACTGTACTCACAGTTCTCACCATCAGCAGATTTACATCGGTAACAGAATACATTTGGAGCATCGTGTAATGGCAGAGCTAGAGAAAATCCAGTTTGACCTCTATATGTCAGAAGGACTTGTGAAAAGCGACAAGTGGAAAGCTGTTTTCTGTTTGTCAACTAAGAATGCTGCTGGGGAAAAAAAAAAAAAAGCCCAGCAGGTTTTTTATCATTATCTTTCAGAATACAAATGCACCACAGGTGACCTTGTCAACACTTTCCACTGCGGTGGTGCTGACAAAAGAAATCGGTCCCATTCGCTTCAGGAGGCTGCTGCTTCAGTACAAACACACTCTGCCACCCTACCTCTGCAGGTGCATCCTACAGCTCGTAAATACATCGGGATAACCTGAAACGGAGGTTGGGTGTGAGAGACCATGTTCAACCCAGGCTCAGGCAGGTACAGCTCCACTGTCACGTTCACATCTAATTTAAAAATCACAGATTTCTATTCTACAGAGTTAGCTACGGTAGGGAGGTCAAGTTTTGTTCCACTAGATTGTCTGTGTTAAAAAAAAACAGCTTTTACCCACTAAAGCCCAAAGCTGCTCCACAGAAGAACTGCATTCCAAAACCTTCCACTTCCAGACATAGCCAGAATTACTGAAGCAGCCCAGGACAACCACCGCAACCTTTCTTGGACAAACCTCTTGGCTAAGAGACCAAATGGAAGTTTGTGCTTAAAGAGGAAATAAAAACCCGACACACTAGCCTCGCTGTCACAGACGTGTGTCTGAAAGTAAGCAGCAATATTAATTACAAATAACCTACTTTCATAAATAAATCTACATAGAGAAAAGTAGCCTTCCAGATCCTTTGGAAGCCAAAAATTAAGAAGTTATTAAATAGAACACTTCAGCAAGAAGACTTTTTCTAAACAAGGAAGACCAAGGCATAGCTAATTACTTGGGAATCCAACGCAGAAAAAGCACCTTTTGCTGCTTGTATCTGAGGATTTATTAAAAATATATTTTTAATATAAAAGTACAAAATAATTACTACTTTGGCTTGGAAAAAAACACAGCAGTGGTTCTGATTTTCAAGCAAAAGAAAAATTATCCAGTGGTAATTTCCATCTAGTTCCTTCTTTTTAAAAAAGATTCCTAAATGGGAAACAGGCAAATCTATCTCTCCAGATAACATGTGCCAGCTTGTGAGAACTTTAAAACAGTTATTGCTTTTATTTTCTTCCATAGAAGAGTAGAGTAGAATCTCATTCCCACTCATGTGGCCATACCACATCGCAGTAAGACTAGTCATGGGTGTTTAACGAGTTATAAAATGTGTAACTGCCACGGGAAAAAGGCGCTGGAGAAATCGGTGAAGTAATAATTATTTGGCAGCAAAACATACTGGGGAAGGTGGTGGGAAAGCTTTCACTTCTACCATCTGTCAGGTTTTCTAGAGAGAACAGCACTAGCACTGAAACCAAGCGCTAATTGCTGCATATCCCAAGTAATTTGTATCATGCCATGCAATATGGATCAGACAAGCAGGATCTTCTAGTAAATGCCAACATCAAATAAAGAGAGGAAAAAAACCCTTCTCTATCCATCCCTAACATATACCCAAATTTACAGTGTTATTTGCTGTGTATTTATACAGCCACCATTCAGCATTAACAGTGCTCGCAAGAGGGGTGCACGCGCAGTGCAAGCACACCCCACCATCCACTCCTTCAGATGTCAGATAGCCAAAATTTCATGAAAGGAACCACATTTTTTTTTCCTCTCTAAAGGGTTAGAACAACATTTATAATCTCTCTTTAAACAGTAATCAACAGTTTGACCAGTTCATCCACAGGGGAGTCAACATAACAAGGCAGAAGCAGAATAGTGGGTTTATTTTCTTTAAGTACAGGTTTATGCAAAATGGGTAACAGCTGAGGACAGAGCATCACCTCTGTGATCCAGCTGATCCTGGAGCCGTGCAAATTCAGCAAGTTCATTCAGTTCTTGGAACTGCCTGTCTGTTTTATGGCTCACCAGTGACCTGTAGAAGTGGACTGCAAACACAATGAAAATCAATCCAAAAGGAACCATAATAGACGTTGATGCAATGGCTGCTGCCTGTCCTGACGTGATGGTCGAACTGTTGCTCTGGAGCGGATTATCAGTTTTCTTCTTTAAAGGAAGAAACTTCACCCAACACAGTAGCACCACCTCTGCAAGAAAGAGCAAAGTCCCAATGACAGTAGAAAACGCCCACGCGAGCTCAATGTGCCGATGCATACGCTCATGAGGAGATTCCTTTACGGAGTTGAGGTTATGCACATTGCTAACGGCCTCTATGTTTGGCAGAATGCAGGTACTTATCATGAGTGCAAACAGGTGTACTGCAACAAGGACAGTAGTACAGGCACTGAAGGCTATCAAGAGACCTTGAGGGTAGTCATGTTCTGCGTCCAGCTGAACTTCCACCATAGCCACCTGAAAACAAAAGAAAAGAGAGATGCTATTACCTACGTTACCTATTATTTGCTTATAGATTACTTTAAATCACATTTCTAGAAGATCATCCATTCTAGATAAAACAACAGTCTACATTTAAATTTCTCTTCATGTCAATCTGTACCTTTTTCACTAGGTTCAAATTTAGGTCTAGGCAGAGGCCACCATTCTCATACTTACCGTTCTGTTGTAGAGCAAACCATCAGTACGCATAAAAACCCTTAACAGCACAACCACCACAGATCATTCCAACAGAACAGCTGGACTTTGTGATCAATGTACTTGGATTCCTTAAAGTGAAACATTTCTTCTTTCCTGTGTTATACTGTAGAAGCACTTTTTAATATTTTACTATAGATTATGAATTTCGCTGGGAAATGTTTTGTGTCTCATATGCATGTAGAACAAATACCTACTTCAAAAAACTTCACACGGTATCTACAACATGAAAGCCTGCAAGGGCAGCAGACTGACCATCACAATCTTGGTGGTCATTTCTCCTTGAATATCTGTTTTTAAGTCCTGAGAGAGAGCAGGAGCCTTTCATCAGAAAGATCACCTTTCCCCGAGGCTCTCACCTATATTCTTTCACTCAAAATCAGTATTCCAGTAGACTCTAGAACACAGATCCAAGACATCAAAGTCTCCACAATGCCCACAGCAGCCAAAGAGGCCTGTCAAAGGCCGTAGGAAGGACAAACAGTCATCTCTCAGTTAAGATAATGCAGAGAGCTCCCAGCCATCACTAGCTACTCTCACTCTGGAAGTTGTGCCCAGCCTCATCTCTGGGTGAGCAGTGCTATTCCGTGAAGACGCTCCAAGGTCCAGCCCTCCACTATTGCATGCAGCCATGTGCTTTTCTAAACTTAGATCTCCAAGCATGCCTGGGCTTAAGGAGCAGAAATCAGCATTAAATAACAGCACTAGGAAGCTCATAAACCCAGCTCAAATATTTTTTGATGAAGAAAATTACCTAGAATGCCTTTTAAGAGTTTTTAAAACTGTCAGGTGGTTTTATGCATATGCAACTGATGAGTGACATTAATCCCAGCAGCTCTCTTGAAAAATAATCTTTCCTGATAAATTTGCCTTTCAGACAAAGCACAGTTCCAGAGAGGGGATAATGCAACAATGTCTCTATGTTTAGTACTCTTTCTCAAAGGATCTCATTAGATAGACTATGTTTAAAATGCAGAAGAAAAAAAAAAAAAGAACAGCAATCTTAAATATTTATAAACA